CTAGTCTCTATATGATGATTTGGATATACAGCTGGTTTAGAAATAACCGCTACTTAACTAAAAGATAAATCAATAATAAATATTAATAACCTACAACACTACCCCTTATACAAAGCTCTTGAGAGTGAAGTAAGCTATGCAATTTGACAGATGGCATCTTTGAAAAGCCCTAAGGTGCTGAATAGTTAATCTCCAGCCTTATAACTTTTTTGGATGGCTAGAAAGGTGCCTACAAGATTGGCTGGCACCACAGAACTTGGGTTTCTTACCCAAGTTACAGAACAGGTAAGAGCGATTTGCTTCCCATCAGCTGGCACCAATATTGTGGCTTGTGTACAGCTTCCTTTCTTCTAGAAGACTAGGATTTTTGTACTTGCCAGGCAAAGCATACACACAGGTAAGTTGCAACATTCATCTCCCCGTCTTTACACCTGTGACCTTGACTTGCTAGAGACTCAAGCTTATTGCTGTTTGCTTTTGCATGGGTGCCTTATCCTTGATTTGTGTGTGTGAATGTATACATGTGTGAGTATGTATGCATGTATACAATGCATGCACATACATACACACACATGCAAGCAAGTACAAAAGTTCACATAAAGGCCAGAGGTTGAATTTGTTGTCTTCCTCAGCAATTTTTCATCTCATTTCTTGACACAGTATGGGTTCATGAACCTGGAGCTCACTGATTTGGTTAAAACCAGTTGACCAGTGAATTCTCTGCCCTTTCTCCCAGCACTGGGATTACAAACTTGGGCTGGTTGGCCCAGCTTTTTGGCATGGGTAATGAGGATTCAAACTCAGGCTCTCGTGTTTGCACAGCAGGTCTTTTATGGATTAAGCCATCTCCCTAGCCTCTCTGATGGTTTTCCATAACCAATTCTGACTCTAGTGTCCTACCAGGGACTCCTCAGGCTCTAAGGTATGGCTCTGGGGACCCTGACATAGTATATATCACATACTTCATGACACTCTCAGAAAAGACTAGCAGAACATTCTGTGACCAAATGCATTGATTTAGTTTTTATATTTATTATAGCCATTTGCACGTGTATTTGTGCTTCTTGGGCAGGGTATGATACACAGTGTATGTGTAAGGGGTTTGCCAAACACAGGCAAGTGCTCATGTGCAATGCGGTATATAGGTATTTGTGCATGCATTCTGAGCTCAAACTCAGGTGTCACTCCTCAGGATACTATCTGCCTTGTTTTGTGAAATAGGGTCTCTCTCTGACAGAGAGCTTGGTTGGTTAGGCTAGGCTGACAAGTCAGTGAGCCCTAGAAATCTGCCTTTCTCTTCCTCATTTGCCACAATTCTTATAACAGAGGGTTTCTGAATTTTGGGTTTTTTTGTTTTGTTTTGTTTTGTTTTTTGATTTTTGTTTTTTGAGGAAGATCAAACTTGGGCCTTCATGCTTGCCTGGCAAACACTTTGTAGACTGAACCATCTCTCTGACCTTACAAATAAAATTTCAGTGGATTAATTCCGTATTTACTGCTTTAAAAAACATATATTGCATGCATGCATGTGTGTGTGTGTGTGTGTGTGTGTGTGTGTGTATATATATATATATATATATATATATATATATATATATATATGCCACATGTGTACACATGCAGACCAGCAAGAAGCCAGAAGAGGGACTCAGATCCCCTGGAGGTAGAGTTACAGGCAACTGTTAGCTGCCTGAAAAGGATGCTGGGAAACTGAGCATGGATTTCTTGGGAGCAAGCACTCCTAACCCCTGAACCATCTCTCCTGTTGACTCACTGCTTTCTCACACAAATTACTGGGAAATAAGATTTTATAACAAGTTTTTGGTATCTGCTCAGTCTCCCTGAGGATCACATGTTCATTTAGCCAAAAGTCATAATATAAGACAAGAACCAGGAACCAAGAACTAGGTCCTGGGTCCAGTGTTTTTCTTTCTCAACTGCATCATCAAAAGGGTTTTACTCACCACCATCTCTAGCTATACAAAACAGAGGGACTGGTGAGACAATGGGACTCTGTGAGCAAGAGTGCTTGACACCAAGCCTGATGACCCAGGTCCCATATGGTGGGAGGAGAAAACTGGCTCTCACAAGTTATCCTCTGACCTTCACATAAACTGTGAGCACATAAACATGAACACAAATATTGTAATTTTTTAAGTTTAAATATAAACTCCATTCAACGGTTACTTTGTTGGTGTGATCAGGAACAACACCCACCAGAGACATGGAGACTCCAGTGCTATCTGTCCACAATGGGTGTCAGATACAGTACAACATGAGGCCAAAAATCTACCTCAGAAGATCAGATCAGACATGACCCATGATAAGGATACTGGGACTCAAAAAGGGGTAAAAGGGACCCTGGGGAGCTGGGTAGATCACATGTTTATCCTATAAGTGTGTGACTCGAGGTCAGATCCCTAGAACCCATGCATGCACATCTGTAAACCTAGAGACCTACAGTGTTAGGGGAAAACAAAGTAGGAAAATACTGGAAGCTTGCAGGCCAGCCAGCCTAGCACAGATCCTATCTCAAACAAGAGAGAAGGTGAGTACCAACATCCAAAGTTACCCTCTAATCCCAAGTGTCAGAACACAATCCGGGAATGGATTTGTATGAGAATTCTGAAGGCTTGTGAGGTGAGAATACTCCAAGAAAACAAGACAAGAGTCTTGTGACTTCAGTTTCTTCAAAACATAATGTTTCTTGTTTTTTGTTTTTTTGGAATGTATTTTCATGCTCCTCTCAGGTATAGAGATAAGGGTGAGTTTACTTCAGATTACTCATTATTGATTGCTGATGTTAAATGTTTACTGTTTATATACCTCTATGGAAAGACATATTTTTGCCAATTATGGCTTGTCCTTACACCTTGAATTCATGAAAACTTTATTCATGGGACCTTCCTTAACCCTCAGAGTATAAATTGTCTGATGCTCTGAATAAAGTTGGTGATTGCACGAGACTTTAGTCTGCCTCATTTATTGCTCCATTCTCCTAGGTCCCACTGCCTCTAGAGTAGTGACACTCTTGCCACAGTGTGTCCATAATCACACATGTAAATGCGCACACATGCCTGCACACACAAATACATAAACATTAAGAAAAAAATGGAAGGTGGTCCACCTAGGATGAAGTAAGAATCATCAGTTGCAGGTAAGGAGGGTAATTCCTTCAGCTGTAGATGAAGCTCAGTAGAGCACTTACCTAGAATTCAAAGGAACCCAAGTTCTATCTTTAACACTTGAAGGGGGGGGGGGGGGGGGGGGAAGGAAAGAAAAGAAGAGAGAAGGAAAGGATAGAAGAGAGAAAAAACGAAAAGGGCATGTGCTGTGCCAGGAACCTCCTGGCTCACTATCTTCTCAATCTTGGAACTACTAATAACCCACCAGAAAGACTATCACATCATTTGGCAATGGAGAGGACTCATGACTCAGGCTGGCCAATCAGAAACTTTTCTTTCCTAGGCCTCAGCCATTGGTTCAGGAATGAGAATAGGACTAAGCTGGTTAATCACAGTGCCCAGGGAGAGACCTATGGAGGTAACGAATGTTCTATTCTTATTATATTATTATTTGTAAAAATGATACAATACCGGAGCTATGGGTTGGGTGTGGTGATGCATAACTTTAATCCCAGCACTCCGGGAGGCTGAGGCAGGCAGGTCTCTGTGAGTTTAAGTCCAGCCTGTTCTACACAGAGAAACCCTGTCTCAGAAAAAAAAAAAAAAAAAAAAAAAAAAAAAAAAAAAAAATTAAGAACAGAGCTATGGAAGACATAAGGCCATTATGAATGAAGCTAATTAATGAAAGCAGAGCCAAAAAATATCAAACACTGTAGTTCTCCTGGGTACATCCATACCTTAGGATCCCTGAATTGTCAGGTGTGAGTACTCCTCCCCCACAATTCCTTCTGTCTGCTCAGGCTAAGATGGATCTCTCTCTCTCTCTCCTCTCTCTTTAGATTTATTTATTTTTATGCATATGAGCGCTCTATCTGCATGTACATCTGCATGCCAGAAGAGGGCATCAGATCCCATGCCCTCCCACAACCACATGGTTGTGAGTCACCATGTGGTTGCTGGGAATTGAACTCAGGACCTCTGGAAGAACAGACAGTGCTCTTAACCGCTGAGCTATCTCTCCAGCCCCTAAGATGGATTTCTATTCCTTTCAACTAAAAGACTCTCAGTCAGTGTTCTTAGGTTCTAATAAATAAGTTTGTTTCATATTTGAGGTGGTTCAGTGGGAGAGAATTGGAGAGAATTGGACATAAAAGGTTGTTAATTACATATCCATCATAGTGTCTGTAATCTCAGCACTGTGCAGGCATAGGCAGGAGGATCTCTGTGAGTCTAAAGATAGCATGGTAGACATAGCAAGTTCTAGCGCAGCAAGGACTACATAGTGAGACCCAAGAAAGAAAGAAAAGAAAAGAAAAAAAAGGAAAAGAAAAGAGAAAGAAAGAGGAAGGAAGGAAGGGAGGGAAAGAGGGAGGGAGGAAGGAAAAAGAGAGAGAAAGAAAGAAAGAGAGAGAGGAAGGAAGGAAGGAAGGAAGGAAGGAAGGAAGGAAGCAAGCAAGCAAGCAAGCTGGTGTAACAGTGTTCATCTGCCATTCCAATGATGGGATAGGGAGAGCAGAGACAAGTCTGGAGCTCACTGGCCAACTATCCTAGCTAAATCAGCAAGCTCCAGATTTAGTGAGAGACACTCGTTCAAAAAATAAGGTGCAGAGAGGTTGAGGAAGACACCTGAGGTTCAAAACACACACACACAAAAACATGTACATATAGCCCACACACATACATACAGAAGTTACAACACATATATGCCAACCCTGATAACATAAGGAAAGAATAAAATAACTAGAAACTGGCCAATGGACCAGAAAATAAAATGTAAATGACAGCAAAAGAAACATTCTTTCCCACCCATGCCCTCTCTGTGATTGGACGAGGCAAGCCCTCCCTGCAGAAGAAAGAGACCAAGGAAAAACACACCAGCCACAGGAGGTAGAGGGCTAGGATGACTTGCAGAGGGGCTGACCAGATCATGTTAATGTACGTGGCCAAGTCCATGAAGCGTTGGGCGTCCACAGACATGAGGTTGACAATCTCCCCAACTGTGGAGGACTTTCTAGCTGAATTGGTGATCACGAGAGCCTGTGGGATATAGGAGAGTAGAAGAGGTGAGACTACAGGTAAAAGCAAAGGGTCAGTCTCTAGACCGTAGTAACTGCTTATCTTTCTCCTCTCCATCCTGAGCTGTTCCAGGCACTTTCTAGCACACTACAGCATTCAGGCAATTCACCTGTGGGGAGAACCCTGTGATTTCTTGGGTCAGCAGGTCTGTGTTTAGGCTAGAATTCTGGATTTCTAAGAAACTCAAAGGTATGACCATGCTGTTGGCCACAAATCCCAACAGAAGGTTCTTGGCCTGGGCACCCTGACACTGGGAGCTAGACAACGCTTTGTTTGGTCAGTCTGTGTAGTGACTGCAAGATAATCTCTGGCCTCTACTCAGAAAATGCCCTTATCCTAAGTTGTGATACCTAAAATGTCTTGAGGCATCAGGAGCAAGTGACTCTAGTGGAGACATCTATCCAGGATATTTGTTGTCAAATATAGTTCTACACGATCATCTATGCCACTGAGTACGACAAGCTTGACCTCAAGGTCTTACTTTTCTGGACTGCAGGCTACACACCAGTACTCAAGCTAACAGATGCGTATAATTTGTAATTAGAGGTAAGAAGCACTAGGAAGACTATTTCTCGTGCCAGCCTGGGAGCCAGGTGGTGGTACTGTCCCAGAGGCCAGGACATGCGGGAGCTGGAGGATCATTAGGGCCCTTTTAGTTTCCTATTTGTTTTCTAATAAGAAGAAGAAAGTATAGATTTGGCTAATTAGGGAGGAGTTGAAGAAAAGGAAACCTTGATCAGAATATATTGTATGAAAAAATCTATTTTCAATAAAAATTAAAATTATGGGAAAAACCTGGACAACAACAACAAAAATAGAGATGCAGCTATGGCTCAAGCTCAATAGCATAGTCTCTGTCAATCATGTGTACCTCAAGCATGACAAAATAAATTAAAGCTTGTCCTCCTCTGTTCAAAAAGCATACTACCTTCAAACAAAATCCAGGGCGAGTGTGAAGGTAAACCCAGGATGTGAAACTAGAATGAAGATTTAATATAATAGATTGCTTTTCAGCTCGAGGCCAGCCATGAGTCCAGGACAGCTACAATTATTATCATACATATGCACACGTATGAGTATGTATACACAGACACATGCATCCATGGTGTACATGTGGAGGACAGACCTTCTAACCTTCCAACTTTTTTGAGACAGGGTATCATCACTACTGTACCCAAGAAACATCAGGAACATCCCAGGATTCTCCTGTCTCCACTTCCTATCTCATTGCTGAGTGTGTAGATATGCACTTCCTTGCCAACCTTACATGGTTCTGGGGATTCAAACTCAGGTTGTCAAGCTTGCACTGTACCTAGTTAGCCATCTCCCCAGCCTCTGAACTTGGCATCAAAGAAAGCCAAGCTGTCTAAGAAACCCTACTACGCACAGATAGCATATAGGTTCACTGACATCCCACACTTCAGCCATTGAGGCCATTTTGTTAAGAAACAAACACTGATGGGGGCTATCTTTGGCCCCATGGTCCCCAAAGCCCCCATCCTTTCCTTGCTGAGGATGCTGGGCTGGAAATCTCCACACAGGTCCTAGGGAGCCCCAGCCCAACCATCCTAGATTCTGAGGTCACAGGATTGGGTGTGGGTGCCTTGCCTACCTTTCGATAGACAGCGCCAACCACGGCTGTCTTGATGCGCATGCCGCTGACGAAGCAGATGTGAAAGTACTGGTGTAGCACCAGTGTCTGTAGACAAGCACTGACAAACAGCAGTGCTGTGTAGAAGTATCCCTGCCAGTTGGGGGCCTCCCTGTCATTCACAAAGTTGATAATCAATCTGTGGGAAGAGGCCAGGAATTTGAGTGTGATATACACAGCAGGGGGAAGTGCTTCCAACTCATCATACTGATTTTCACTTGAGACAGAGAAAGCCAGACAACACTTGACCTGTCAGAGGTGACATGACTGCCAGGTGCCAGCCTCTTACAACAGGAAAATCTGCCTTGGGATCACCACACCGATAGGTCTGTCTCCCCACTAGCATGTCTCCCAATTAGAGTACACATCGAATAGAGCACACTGGGACCAAAGTGATAAGAGAGAAAGATGAGGTCCCCTTGCTGCCTTCTTGGTTTCCAGTTGTAGATATTCATGAGATCTGCCTGCATGCTTGCTCTAGACAATGCCAATTCTCCCAACTTTGCATTCAGGAGGCTTCTGTGACTTGCAACCAAACTGGCTACAATTTGGATGGTAATTAAAAAAAGCTGGAGAATATAGAGGTAAGGGGTAACAAGCCTGCTCCTACATATGGCAAGACCAGGAAGTTAAGGGGAGCCAGGCAGTCAGGCAAGAGTTCTTACTTCAAGATCTCGGGGCCAGCAAACATCATCAGGTCATGAAGGGCCTTGAAGAGGAAGCTCATGAGGAAGTAGGGCCCAAAGGTCTTGTATAACACTTTGAACAGAGAGGGGTTCCGGTCCTTCTTGGGCGACTTGACAATCAGTGCCTCAACCTCCTCATTCACATCCAACTGGGAACTTCCCTTGGCCTTGCTGGGATCTTTGGGAGGGGCATACACAATCCGTACAGGCTGCCTATAACGAGAGGAGGTATTTTAATCACTGAGCCATCTCTCCAGCCCTGGTTTTCTTTTAATTAGATACACTGGGTCATTGCTGGTATACCCTCCAGTTTTGGTATTCAAGTCCCTTTAGGCATCAAATACTGAGGCAACAACTATCTGTCCACTTTTTCATTTAGCATAATAAGTTTGTGCTTCCTCTACTCAGATTCCAATTTCTACTTACATCCTAATGGGCATTTTGGTTTGATTCTAGTTTGGGCTATCACAAACAAGGCAGCTACAAGTCTGTACAAACCTTTCAGAACCTAACTTTCCAGTTCTCTTGTGTATCTGCCTGGGAACAGAGTGACAACAAGTAAGTAACTATATTTAATTTTAAAACAAAACAAAAACACTATCAAACTTTCTTCCATAGCCACTGACCCACCTGATACTCATGCCAACAGGAAACATCATTCAAAACGGCCTCACCATAAGCGAACAAAGTATTATCACAAGCTGTCTTTATAAGGGTTTCTACTGCTATGACAAACCACCATGACCAAAAAGCAAGTTGGAGAGGAAAGGGTTTATTTGGCTTACACTTCCATTGCTTTTCATCACTGAAGGAAGTCAGGACAGGAACTCAAATGAGCCAGGAACCTAGAGGTAAAAGCTGATGCAAAAGCCATGGAGGAGTGGTGCCTACTGGCTTGCTTCCCATGGCTTGCTCAGTCTGCTTTCCTACAGAACTCAGGACCACCAGCCCAGGGATGGCACCACTCACAATAGACTGAGCCTTCCCCCACTGATCACTGATTAAGAAAATGACTTACAGCTGGATCTCATGAAAGTATTTTCTCAACTGAGGCTCCTTCCTCTCTGATGACTCTAACTTGTATCAAGCTGACACACAAAACCAGCCAGTACAGAAGCCAACAATGCACTAAGAAACAAAGATAGGAGCAGAGCCAGTGAGATGGCTCAGTAGGTAAAGGCACTTGCTGTCCACCCTGACAACCTGGGATCAATCCCTGGGACCAACATGGTAGAGTGTAAGAACCAACCTCCAAAAGTTGTCCTTGACCTCCATACATACGATCTATGGCAAATGCATTCCCACACATGTAAACATAAATAAATATAATTTTAAAAAATGAAGACTCTAGTGGTTGCCATTTAGCAGAATTCTCTCAGCACTGCTGCCCTGTACAGAATCTGTCTCTGACGTCCTACTATCTCTTCACTGTAACTCTCTAGTATAGCCTGGGGTCCCTGCAAAGACATCATCCATTCTCATTCATTTAACTCAAGCCTTAGTAGGTGCCTCAGGAACTTTTTCAGTTGTCCCTCCAACTAAAAAGCCCTATCCCAGGGTATGTACATGGTTCACTCCCTCCTTTGAATGACAATGTTTTTGAATGTCACTTTCTCAAAGGAGCAATACCTGAATAATCTTCTAAAACAATTCCCTATATCACACTGACCTTCACTTCCCCTAACCTTACTGTAAAACTATGTAGTCCAAGGTACAAAGCACTTGCCTGCTTTGTCCCAATGCCTGAACCCAGGTCCAGAACTCAGCACCAAAGCAGCAGGTACACTCGAGTGCTTGGCCTCAGGTGGCACTCCATGCCAAATCCCATGCTTGACATGTTCAACAAAAAAAAAAAAAAAAAAAATTCAACCCAGCAAAAACATTCAGGGAACATTCAAGACACCAAACAGATGCTCAGAGAGAAAAGAGTTAGATAGATTGAAGAGGGCAGACCCAAGCCCCAGTACACACAGCTGAGGGCAATGACCAAAAGAATCAACTCCCAGCTTGAAAGAGGGCCTCCAATCTGAAGAGTACCTTCACGTCCATTCATTCACACTTTTGGACAGTTAATCAATCAGTGACCTAAAGATGTACCTTGCAAACAGTTAAGCACTTCCACTACACTGCATCTGACAGATGAGGAACTGCAGCCTAGGGAGGTGATGCAGTTTCCCTAGAACGGAGAAACTTAAAGATTCAGGCCACAGTGGCTACAGGTAGGTAACAAGTCAGCCTCAGCCCAATCTAACTTGTCTGGGAGATCACAGAAATATGACACTCACTTCATTGACTTAGCACATTCCTTCTTCCAGTTATTCACTAGCACAGGAACCACTTCTTCTGACGTGTCCTCTTTATTCAGTGACCAGAGGTCACTGCTCTCCAGGGGCTGGCGGTAGCCCTGCACCATCATCCTGGGAGCAAGACACAAAGGGAGATACAATGAGCATTGAAAGAAGAGTGCTATGGGGCCTCCCTCACACAACTGTTAGCACTGTCCAGCCATGACTAGAAAATCTGAGAATGAGGCATATTAACTAATTATGGCTAATTCTACTAGGTCTTTTAGGGAAACAAAATGGGCCTCATTTTAACAGGCAGGTGCATGGTGTGTTTAGAAAGAAATATCTGGGTGTTTCTAATTTTTTGTCTGCCTTGTAAATTTTATTTTTAATTATTTTATTTCAAACATGGCCTTATGTAGCCCAGATTGGCCCCAAACTCTCTGTGTAGCCAAAAATGACCTTGAACCTCTGATCTTCCTAAGAAAACAACCAAATTCCAGTTGTTTTCCTGATGTTGCTCATGTATATTTTCCTTACGTATTTCCTATGACATACATATATGACTTTGCTATAAAGTGCACAACAACAACAACAGCATAGTCACTACTCTGTATCTGTGAATTTGGGAAAGCTTTTTCTTATTGGACATGACATCTTCCTTGTTATTCCTTAAGCAGTAGATTAAAGCAGCTATTTACACTGTATCAGGAGTCATGCAGCATCCAGAGATCACTCAGAATACAAGGCAGATGTGGCTAAACACAGTTGCTACTCTACTTTATATGAAGCATCAGTCAGAAAGTGTGTTATCTGTAGGGTCCTGGGACCAAGCCGCTAGGATACCACGTTAAATAGTTACAAATCAGGGCTGGAGAGATGGCTCAGTGGTTAAGAGCGGCAACTGCTCTTCCAAAGGACCGAGGTTCAATTCCCAGCACCCACATGGCAGCTCACAACTGTCTTTAACGGATCTGATACCTTTACCCTAATGCACGTAAAATAAAAAAAAATTAAATAAATAGTTACAAATCCCTTCAACCCAAAGGCAAGCCTTGAGCAGGCCAGCTGAGAGCCTATGCCAGAAGCTAAAGGTGCTCACAGCCTGTGAATTTATTCATAAAAGTGGAGGTTAACTGCTTACCTCAAGATATAACTTGCAGACAGTACAGGAGGAAACTTCAGAAAGCTGAGCTGTGTGGAAGCATTCATTCACCCACTGTGTTCATACCCATTACCTACCCCATCTGGAGACCTTACCCTGTAATCCACCAGAAAGTGATCCTGGAAAGGAAAGAGGCGCTGGATTCTGGGCATGGATTCTAGAAGATAGAAGGCACAGGGGAGGGAGGAGAAGGAAAATCCAAACTTAACTTTCCACTGGGAGAGCTAGGCAAAACAGACCATTCTTCTGTCAAATGACCACAGCCCACATCCTCACACTTCTGCATCCCACGTGGACTGCTCTCATGAGCCTCAGGAAAAAAACAGAGCCCATCCCACCATTTTCACTCAACAAATGTTTCTTGAGTACCTACTATGTACAAGCACAGCACAACACAACACCAACCCATCTCATCATAACAACAACCCCATGACCTTTTGTTAACATCTGCCACACTTCACTCATCCATTCAACAAGTATTTTATAAGCACCTACTATGTGTTAGGCACTCTACAAAGTACTAGGGACATTCCCTTCCTACATTCCCACCTCAACCTTGTGTGGCAGTGTTATTGATTACTTCCATTTTATACATCATTTATTAAGCACATTTTTATTAAGCATCTACTATGCACCAGGAGCTCTTTACAAAGGTGTATCCTTTTGCATTGCATTGCTGGCAATCAAGTCCAAGACCTTTCATATGCAAGTGTTCTTCACTGAGCTACTACCCTATGGCTATGTGGACTCTTTTAATACTATCCTATTATTATCTTCACTTCAACCATCTACCCAGAAGATGGATTTTCTAAGCACTTAATATGTGTCAAGAAACATTTACAAACATGAACAAAGAATCTAGCCTCAAAAGAGAACAAAAATCAAGGGCTTCAGAATTGGACTATTTGTTGTTCATATAGATGAGCCAGGTTCCATTCCTAGCACCCACATGGTAGCTCACAACTGTCCCTAACCTCAGTTCCAAGGGATCTGACCTCTTCTGACTTCCACAGGCACCAGGTACACACAAAATGGGCATATATAGATGCAAGCAAAACACTCAAATACATGAAATAAAATAAATCTTAAAAAGCTACAAAAGATAAAGAAGGAAGGAAAAAAAGGAAAAGGCAGAAGAGGGAGAAAGGGGAGTAATAAGAGGAGACAGCAGCAAGATATCAGCAGGAACAAGATATTTCCCTGAAAGCCTAGTGATCTGACTTCAATGGTAAAAAGAGACTCAATGAATTCCTCTGAACTCCAAACATACCCCATGGCATGTGTGTCTCCCAGCACATCATACACATACACACACACACACACACACACACACACACACACACAAAATAATAAAAAATACAAATTTGCAAAGATGATGATGATAAATAGGGGTTTATATGTGACTCAGTGGATGATCTGAGTCCCAGTGCTTAAGAGGGAAGGTCTAACTGAGTCTTGGCTTTATTTATGAGCTATGGGATGTCAGGCAACTTCCTTGGAGGTGACTAAATGAGATAAAACAAAATAGTTATTTAGAACAGGGCCCAGAGCAGACTAAATCATGAACCATGCTACCCTAAGCACTAAGCTAGGTTCTTTATACACGAGAGATGGTAAACTAGGTCCTGCAGGATGGCTGCTTGTAAATAAAGTTTGTTTTGGAAAACATTCTGAGGCTGCAATGAAGCTGTTAAAATAATAATAATAAAAAGAAGAAGAAGAAACCACATAGTTCACAATAAGCACTTGTATAATGAATAAATAAATAAGTAGATGAATGAATGGAGAATGGATAGACAGATGACAGATAGGTAGACAGATAGATAGATGACAGACAGACAGACAGGTGATGACTGATCGTAGCTCCTCAAACCAAATGCCTTAAGACATGGAGAGTAGGAAGGTGTATTTGCAGGCCTCCAACAACTGTCCATCACTGAAATTCCCAGAAAAAGCCAAACCTGTATTAAAGATTCTACTTGACTATCATGACTGTGTAAAGTTGGAATGGTACAGATCTAGATACAAATTGCTTGAGCTATCTTTAGGCCCCTTTAGTAGACATTTATTTATTTATTCCCTCTGTGTCTACTTAGCAGCCTTCTGACTATCACATTAAACCTTTTAGAATATATCGACAAACCAGCAGCTTCTACCGACCCCAAAACTAAAAATGTCATCAGATGGGGTCCCACTAATGACTTGAAAAGTACTTTGATTTATGAATATCGTTTGTTCTGAAGCTTATCATATGTTGGCGCATGGAGCAACTATGTTCCTGGGCCAGGGTCACTCATATTTGGATAGAGAATAAACCATCTCTTACTCCTGCTGAGGTGAGAGCTCAGTTTTTGCAGCAATAATATCCAATGTTCCTCCAGCCTTGGCTTCAATAAAGAGAAGAGATGGCTCTTGGGGCTGACATAAGCCCAGGTCCAGCTCAATAAAACCCTCAAGTCGGGCTGGAGAGATGGCTCAGAGCTTAAGAACACTGACTGTTCTTCCAAAGGCCCTGTGTTCAATTCCCAGCAACCACATGGTAGCTCACAACCATCTACAGTGAGATCTGGTGCCCTCTTCTAGTGTGTATGCACACATGCAGGCAGAATACTGTATAAATAATAAATAAATAAATCGTTAAAAAAAAAAACCTCAAGTCTATGGAGACAAAGCCTCACTCCAACTACTCTAGCCACTAGTAGAGACCCACCAGCAAACACAATAAGATCATGTTATTGGCAGGACATGTCTATTTCTCTCTGCAACCTCCTAGAGCTTCATCTACTCCCAGGCCTCCTCCCTCCTTCGGATCCAGTCAGGGACACTAAGATTATCTGAAGTTATAGCTACAAGGCTCCCCTGCAAGGGCACAAAGAGAAATCTATCAACTTGGGAGCTGGTTTCTGGAAGCCTCCATCTAACAAGGGAGGATTTATTTGATAACAATAATAACTAGAGCTATGGTCTAATTCAGTTTTCTGCCCAGGGTGCTCAGACTAAAGGACTGAGGTGAAGTGTGTATGCAGCAGCCAGGCAGCTTTGAGAAATGGTTCTCCAATGTGGCCCCAGCAGCAACAGCAGCAAATATCTTAGAAATAAAGCATTCTAGCCATGCTCTGCCCCATACTATCAAGAAAGTGGGGGTGAGGGCAGTAATCTATACTCTAACAAGCTCTAGGTATAGATTTGTCCCCTGCTGTGAAAACTCTGCAGAGGGATTTCTGAACTTCTCTACTCTTATCATCTGTGTTTTTACCTATAAAGCAGGAGGCTGAACATGCAGTCTGTTGGGTTTACTGTAGAGGCTAAATGAACTGTACACTGCTACACCTATGACTGGTTAAAACAACTCCAAGACCCAATAATGAGACATTTCCAAGTGTTTTATTAACACTGGCAATTTGCTGACCTGCCAGGCAACAGCTGCTCAAAACCTCTCCCTGCTGGGTTAGAGCATACACCTGGACCTGTTTTCTAAGCCCTTTCCCCATGAACTTTTCATATTCTAATCCTGGTACCAAACTCCTTAGTGTACTTAGTGTACTTCGTTATGTCCTTCATCTGGCTGTGACGTCTTTCTGAGTGCCACCAACTTCCCTAAGTCCCATGCATTCTACTTTCAGCTCATAAAGTCCCCCAAAACACATCCAAGTTGAAGGTAACACTATCAATGCAAAAGCTTTCATATATTCCCACCACAGTGAAGTTAAACTTCCTTGGCTAGGGCTATGGCTGTTTGGAAACAGACCCCCAGGCAGGAGGAGAACCACACCCTTCACTTCCTTCCTGTTTTTAGGGGAAGTGAAGAAAAGCCTTACCCCATGTCCCAGGAGGCCCCAAGCAGGCCTCAGATGACCCTCAGACTGAACACTGTTCTCCCTACACTGTTACAGCTAATAGGAACTGAGGGTCCACATATGCCAGCCCTGCCTAAGGCATCAAGATCCCAGGGCAATCTCTGCCTTTGGGTCTGAGGAACCAATTCAGCCATTATTAAACCTGTCTTCAAATGGAGTATAGCCAAGAGAAGTGATGGAGTTCTATAGAAGGAACAGTCCTGGGTCTGAATTCCTGTTCTGCCACTTACAATGGGCAAGGTACTTAAGTCCTTATGACTCTGTTTCTTTGTCTGAAAAAATAGAAAGAGGCATGCATATGAAGTGACCAGAACAGCAGGGAGCCAGTGAACAGCTATGACCTGTTCTTGCCCCTCATGTGACCAAGCTATATGTTCACATGAAGAAAGAAGCCCTGCAAAAAAGAAAGGAGGTACAAAGGCAAGGTACCAAATCAGCAAAGCTAAAAGAATGATCCAGACAGGGCAGGGAGCCAGCAAACTTCATCTACAGAGACCCAAACAGCAAATGTCAGGCTTTTGGGATGGGGGGGTAGAATATAGTCTCAGGCAACTCCTTAACTCTCCTTTTAAGTTCTCCTTTTTTCTTTAAAAGATTCATTTATTTGTTTGTTTTTTTGTTTGTTTAGGCAGTGTTCTGTCTGCATGTTCACCGGCACCAGATTTCATTATAGATGGTTATGAGCCACCATGTGGTTACTGGGAATTGAACTCAGGACCTCTGGAAGAGCAGCCAGTGCTCTCAACCTCTGAGCCATCTCTCCAGCCCTCTTAAGCTCGCCTTTTAATGTCCAGCCATGCAGTACATTTTCACTAATGAGCAAGAATATGTTCCAATAAAAATTTATTGACAAAAGCAAGTAGATGACAGGAATTTGCCTATGGACTGATCTAGAGCGCAAACTACCTACAAGTAAATGGTACCTCACTGGGTTGATCAGAACCCCAAAGGAGGCCAGACTGTCTGGCAGGAGACAGAATACAGGGCCTGAGACTAGAAAGATATATAGTAGAAGGAGGGAGGAGTAAAGAAGGAAAAAAGAGGAGAAGTACAGGAAGAAAGGGATAAAGACAGACTAAAGAGAGGGCAAGAAAGACCAGCAGGAAGCAGTAGCTCACAGAATGCACCTGGAAGTCACAAAAGTGACCAGAGCCCAGCCTAAGCTCCTAACAACTACTGCCCTATAAGACCATGGCCTTAATCTGCCAAGGCTTCCCATTTTTCTAGAATGCCTGGGCAGCTGGAATTCATGTGATATTTGCTGACTCTAAGCTTTCACCTGTGGGTTCTGTCCACATTTTCTAAAATTACCATGGCAAGCAAAAGCTACCAGCTGGCTTATCAGGCACAGCTAGAAATACAGCAAGCATAGGTAAATGAGAAGAGTGATTTTTCTATGCGCTTCTAGAAGAATGGAATGTGAGTCTTCACTGGTGACATGGAGCTCAAAACCAGTGTCCAAACAGTGTTAGCTGGATCTACCTATTTCTCTCTCACCTAGACACACATGTCTAGGTCACACTTACCAGGTCGTGGACAGTTTCAGAGAAGAGGGGTGAGGAGTCTGAGAAGCAGGACAGCACAAGCTGGATGAGCACAAGAGTGAAGTACATATAGAATGTGGTGTCTCGAAACACGTCCACTTGGGCATCCTGAGCAGGGGAAAAGGCAGGGAACACAGATTACCATAATGTTCCTTGAAAGCAGGATACAGATGCCTCACCAAATCCTCACAGTCACAGAGAATGGTGTTCAGTAGTGGAGGCCCATGATGTTGTGAGTACTTGTAAGAGATGAAAGAGCCACAAGCTGGCATCATCCTCATGAGGCCCTGGGGTGCCACAGGGCATTTACAGGGAATCCATCATGAAGGCCTTTCCCAAGACCTCAGATCTCCCAGCCTTCAGAATCTCTCTTTTCTCTAAATCATTCTCACAATAGGATTTGGTTACAGCAACAGTAAAAAGGATTAAGATAAGCCTAAAGAGCAGGCTGCAGACAGCCCCCTCCCCTGCCACGGGAATCCCCACCTTTCTCTCCCCTTGAAATAAGACAGAAAAAAGGTGGCTCTTTTTCTTGTGCCTAGACAGCATCCCACAGAAGGAGTGGAACAGCTCTGGCTCTGCTCCTTCTGGCTATGGAACCTTATCCATTTACTTAACCTTTCTGTGCCCTGGCTTCTCCACTGGTGAACACAACAGTGGCCTTCAACCAAGAGTGGTTTTGCCACCCAGGCAATAAATTCCATTGTCTGGGGATGTGTGTCACTAACTTGAAGGGGTGTTCCTAGCACCCAAGGTATGGAGGCCAGGGTGTCTCTAGATACCCCACAAAGCACAGGACAGTGTCCCACAATGAAGAAGTCTCTGTCCATTTGTCAGTTAGTGCTGAGGTAGAGACACCTCATCAGAGCCACTGCACATAGTCCTCATATTATTCATGAGAAACAAGTAGTCCTTGGAGAAGCACTTAGGAAAACTTTCACAAACTCAACTAATGCCAGCTGCTGCCATTATCACAGAGACTATGCTCTCACAGGTGCTCCACAATTGTTCTATCCCTCCTCCATGCTCATGTCAGTCTCTAGTTCCCAGACAACAAGAAATGGCAGATTAGCCAAAAGTGCATATTCTTCAAAAGTTATGGGAGTGGCACACAGAAGCCAGTCCCAACAACTTCCTGACAGAATTGCAGCTGGTAACACCAAGGTAACATGGAGACATGTCTAGGGCCCTTTGAGAAACAGCCACTAGGCAAACAGAGCTCCCAGCTCAGCTCAGCTCTAGCCCAGCCAGCCTACAGAGGCACTGCAGATAGAGGCCTAGTGCAACTTAGCATCTGCCTGCAGACAGGAAAGAAGGCTCTAGAACAAAGTCTGTACCTGATTTGCTGGAGTAGAGATGTCCCTGGAAAAGCAGCAGAGCCTAATGTGGTCCCCATCCTGTGGTTCCCTTGGCAACACATGACTATACAAGATGGAATAAACATCTCTCCCATCAATTACCTTTTTTAAGGCAGAGATGATCTTAGATCTTAAGATGGCTAGGGCACACAGTAGGGCTACAAGCCAGAAAGTAAGCATAATCCCGGAGGATTGGACTCCCTTCCTTCGCTCAAGCTGAATTAAAAAGATGGCGAGCAGCTGGAAGAGAGAGATACATAACAGTTTAGAGAAAGCAGGATCCCAGGGTCCCACAGTGATGCTGGATAATGCATGACTCAAGGGCCTAAGAACTGCCAGGAGAGGCCCTTACCCTAGTACTATAGCAGCTACTTAAAGAGTCGTAGCAATTTTCTCAAGGTTTCTTTCCTTTTATTCTATGTGTGTATTTGTGTTAGTGTGTGTGTCAAAAATACACATTTGTATGGATGCACATGTGCAGAGAACAATTCTGAGTGTCCTGCTCTGTCACTCTGCCTTATTATCTTGACACAGAGCCTCTCATTTAACCTGGAGCTAGGCCAGTGGCCAAGTTGCCCCTGCTTTTCACATTAATGTGTGGCATACCCAACTTTTTACATGGGTGTTAGAGATTTGAACAACTCTTTATGTTTGTGCATCAAATGCTCTTAGTGACTGAGCCATCTCCCAGTCCCTGAGTAATAGGATTCTAGTAAGACCATTTCAGGGTTGTGAGGAAAGTTCAGTTTAGAACTGATATCCATCTTTGAGAGGAAATAAAGCAGAACAGACCCCACTTACTGTGAGCCTGCAGTTCCCTGGGCTCCTCTAACTCCCACTGTCACACTACCACATCCTCCATGATTCCCTCCTCTCCATCCATGTTCCAGGCACACAGCCCAAACCTCTATTTCTCCCGTACTGTTGGTCATGCTGTTCTCAACAGGAAGGTCTCATGCCCTCAGCCCCTTCATCCTATTCACCCTTTGGGTTTCAGTTCCATTATTCCTCTCCTCTATGAAGTCTCCTTAGATTTATAAGCCCCAGATCCAAGTTCAGAGCTCCCTCCTCAAAGCTCTGCATACCAGAACACACAGCTTTGGTCTTTTGTAGAGAAGCCATTTGATATCTTTGTGCTCAGCGAGAGCACGGAGTTTATCTCACACTTAGTCAGGGAAAAAACATGTTTACTGACTGCCTACTAAGTGCCTGCAAGGATTCTAGCTCAGCAGGAGAACCAGAGAGTAAGCCAAGAGCCACCACAGACATCAGGAAAGCAGTGGCTCTACCATTCTCTGGCTTTGTGACCTTCACCCAGTTCCTCCACCTCTCTGGACTTCAATTCACTTATCTAAAATATAAGATTATGACATATGAAATATGAAATAAATATATGAAAATAAGTCATGAAAAAGTTAGCATCATCTCTGGCACCTGATTAATATAGCCATCGGTACCACTATGTCTTCCCTGACCCCAATACTGGGCAGGCTGTCCATAACCCTCTCTCCTAAGCCTCCTCTATTCTTGCTTCAGAGCTTGTCCTTCCCTACACATCTCCTTTTAGCCCCAACCCTTTAGATAAACTGATTCTCTTCTCCCAAGTCTGCTCTGAGCTTGCTCCTCCTCCTCTTCCAGCCACCAAGGTCTCTGCTTTCTAAAAACCTTCTGGGCTTTTCAGAGGACTGCCCAAAGCACAGAGATTAATTTGGGCACATCACTCTGTAACCACAATGTACCAGGTATACACATGACAGCACAAGGACCCAAGCCTGTCTCAGCTACCTGAGCCACTCAGTGCCTTCATCTCATCACCTGTAAGAGGAGAAACATGATACCTGTTCCACAGGGTCACTCTCAAAATGACCTCAAGCTCAAGGACAATACTAGGAGTCCAGCGGGACTCAATACCTGCTCACATGTATCTATGAACTTAAAGTCATACTATCTGTGGCTGCTAAGCTGTGAGATCCTCCAGCACTGCTTCCTGCTTTGCTTAACCTTTCTGTGCCCTGGCTTCTCCACTGGTGAACACAACAGTG